AAGTCCCGGACCTGACCTGGGGCCAGGATGGACAATTCCTGCTCCTCAAGCCCCCTCTGTGGGGACCCCATACCCAGGGGTGCTGAGTGAGACCCTGTGGGGTGGCAGCAGCTGCAGGGACTCTGCCCCAGCACGGGCTTCCCACGGGCTCTCATCCTTCTTTTTGGGCATCCCCTGCTCCGGTGTGGGCTCCTCCTGGGGCTGCAGGGGAATCTCAGCCCTGGAGCACCTCCTGCCCCTCCTTCTACACTGGCCTGGGGGTCTGCAGAGCTGTTCCTCTCCCCTGTTCTCACTGAGCTCTTCTCTGCACCCAATGCCATCTGCACAAGGACTTTTTCCTCCTCCAGTCCGTTCTCCCCGAGGTGTCACTGCCACCTCTGATGGGCTTGGCCTTGGCCAGCGGCAGGTCCATCCTGGGGCCAGCTGGAATTAGCCCTGCTGGACATTGGGGTGGTTTTTTGGCAGCTGCTCCCAGAATCCAGCCCTGGAGCTCCCCCTGCTCCCAAAACCTGGGCACACAAAGCCAAGACACTGCCCAGTCTGGATCACCTGGAACGTGGGTCACCAGGTCTGTACCCAACGTGGATCGCGGTTGGGTCACTTGTGGGGTTTTTTATGGACACAGGACACGTTGTGACTTCTTGGGATGGACTTGGGCAGGAGGAACCCCCAACCCAAAGCACTCACACCTTGTTTTTTCTCCCAAACCAGGATTTCTCCTTCCCAAACCTTGGCCAGATCGAGGAGGCGGCCATGAGGACGAGGAAGATGCTGCGGGCCCTCCAGGCAGGTGAGGAGGGGCTGGATTTGGGGGGGGATGTCCTTGACCTTCCCTCTGGGCCGGAGGCAAATCTCCTGCCTGTCCTTCTCCCTTCCTGCCCCAGGCCCCGAGCTGAGGACGGAGAGCACGGAGGACAAATCCCCCCGGCAGAGCCTGGTGGGAGAGGCCGTTTTGAAGGGCTCCCCGGCGCAGGAGGAGGAGGAGGAAAAGCCACGAAGATCCCCCAGGAGGAGGAGCTGCAAAGCCATCCCAGGGAGCTCTGAGGAGGAAAGAGTCAGGGTGTGCCAGAAAGGCGGCCGGAGCTTGAGCCGCTGCCCCGACCTGGAGATCCACATTGAGTTCCACGTCAGCGAGAAGCCCTACAGGTGCCTGGAGTGCAGCCAGGGCTTCAGCCAGATCCTCAACCTCTTCTACCACCAGCGCTCGCACACGGGCAGACAGGGGCCCCACAAATCCGTGATTCTGTGGAAGAGCGTCAACCAGAGCCCCCAGCTTGCCAGCGGGCAATCCCTGCAGGCCGGGGAACAGCCCTACAGGTGCTTGGAGTGCGGGAAGAGCTTCAGTTACAACTGCAGGCTCGTCGCCCACCGGCGCCTGCACAGGGGGGAGAAGCCCTTCGAGTGCCAGAAATGCGGGAAGAGCTTCGGCCGGAAATTCCACCTGATCCGCCACCAGGCGGTCCACACCGGGGAACAGCCCCACCGGTGTCCTGAGTGCGGGAGGGGCTTTCGGGACAGCTCGCACCTCACGAGGCACCGCTGGACGCACCGGAGGAAGGGGCCCTTTTCCTCCACCCGCAGCAGGAAGAGCCTCAAGGACAACTCCATCCACGCCAAAAAGAGGCTCCACAAGTGTCCCGAGTGCGGGAAGAGCTTCGGCTTTCTCTCCTTCCTGCTCCGCCACCGGGCGATCCACGCCAAGGAACGGCCCTACAAGTGCGGGGAGTGCGGGAAGGGCTTCAACCGCAGCCACAACCTCGCCAACCACCGGCGCCTGCACGCGAACGAGCGGCCCTACAAGTGCCCCGAGTGCGGCAAGAGCTACAGCATCAGGTCCAACCTGAACCGCCACCGGAGGATCCAGTGCAGGGAACGGCCCTCCGAGCGCCCCGAGGGCGGGAAGGGGGTTAAAACCAGCTCAGATCTCCTCGTGCGTCAGCAGACGGACGCGGGGGAGAGGCCCTTCCGCTGCGCCGACTGCGGGAAGGACTTCAACCGCATCTACAACCTCATCAACCACCGGCGCCTGCACACGAACGAGCGGCCCTACGAGTGCCCCGAGTGCGGCAAGAGCTACAGCATCAAGTCCAACCTGAACCGCCACCGGAAGATCCAGTGCAGGGAGCGCCCCCAGGGTGGGAAGGTGCCGCAGCCCGGTGTGGGAAGTAGAGAGGGACTCCAGTGCTCTTGGAATGCTCAGCTGGAATGTTTATTAAGCGCTCAGCCACAGCCTCAGGGTAAGACACGAGGGGCCGCGACACCGAGAGACGTCGCCAGCTAGCGAGCCAAAATGGCGTCCGCCAGCTAGCGAGCCAAAATGGCGTC